TGCCAGCTTCCTCCTCATGGGGACCGAGGTTGGCCAGGCCTTGGCTGCCACCCTGCTGTGTGGAGAATCTCCCTCCCGGGGAGTCCCCTCTGCAGGAGACTTCCAGCAGGGAGCCTTTGGCCACCAACACCCATGGAGTCCCGTCCAAGAGCTTCACTGGGGTCCAGGTGGTAGGGAGCTTGCTCCCCGAGCCCTTCTGCTCTAAGCAGAGGGAGCCCCCCGGGGCTGCATGCTGGCCCTGCAGGTACCCTGCCCCTATGGGCCCCCAACCCTGCCTGGGTTGTGCTGGAGGACAGAGCCCAGGCTGGCTGAGCTGCCCCTGTACAAGTGGTGGCCACGTAGGGAGCCAGGGCAGTCCTTACCAAGCCTGAGGCAGGAACTGTGGGCGGGGTCAAGGGAGTGCCCAGCTGTGTCATGCCAGGCTGGAGACATCAGGGGCTTGACAGGCTGCCTTGGTGGGCAGGGAGGACAGCACCCAAGGGCACTTGCTGGACATTGTCCACTTTCCTCCTCACACTGGACCCATTTTACAGAAGAGGTCACCGAGGCTCGGGGATTCCACACAGCGTTTATTCACTGGATCATTCCACTGGGCGCCAGGCACGGACTGCTGCAGCAACATGGCCAGTGGGGTGGGTGACGTTTATAAATGCTTGGTTCTCCCTGACGTGGGCCCTGGCCTTGGGCCCCCATTCATTTTTGGGGAACAAACACTGTGGGCTCCAGAATGCAGCAGGACCCTGTGTCCCTATGGGGAAGCAGGTGTCTGACCTGGAATAGGGGCAAGGCAAGTGGGTCTGCAGCGCCCTCTGCTGGCCAGCCTGAGAGCCCTGGGTGGGAGTGCAGGAGGGCGGGGTTCTTGGACCCTGGGCCCCCCAATAATCTCCAACCTAGTGGGGAGGGGCCAACACAGGACAAAACTGGTTTTAAAGCCCAGGTCTCCAAACAGGCCACTCCTGGGAGAAGCTTGCTTATGGCTTCTGTAGGTCTCACCATATTGGCCAATGGGTCAATGAAAGCCAGACCGCAAGGGGACTCCAGTTTTAAAATCAGATCTGTCCATTTGGGGCCCACATCTCCTGGCACAGTCAGGAAGACCCGAGCAGGAGGGGTATGTGCATTTCCATCAGCCTCAGACCCCTCCGGTCCCTTTGAGCCTCACCACTGCCTCCTTGGGTCATGACTTGCCCTCCTGGCCTTTGAACCCTCTCCTCGCCTGCACGAGAGCCTGGTCAGCCAGTGATGTTGGGAACCCAGGGAAGGGCATCACCCTCCTGGCTGCAGCCTCCAGCCCAGGGCATCTCTCCCCATGCAACGCCAGAGGGAAAGAAAGTCCCCGGACAAGGGGCTGCGCTTTCCCTGGTGACCTGTTACTGAATCCATAGTTGGAGGGCAGCATCTGCAGATGACTTGGGCCTCAGAAGTTATCAAAGACTGTGGCTACTTCAGGGGGCCCTGTGGCATGGGGCAGGGACAGAGGCTGAAGGGGAAGAGCTGGGGAGGAGTGGCCTTCAGGCTCACCTGGAGTGTGCTTCCTGGCTGCAGGGGGCTGGCTGCCCTGGGGAGGTCACCAGCTGCCTGTTGCCTGAAGGGTTAGTTCGAGTGGGACCTGAGACCCTGTGTTTAGGAGTGTCTGGCCCAGTGACGGGGACTCCATGGGAAAGCTCACGGCTGTTCCTGGAGCCAGATCTCCAGTGGGGAGACACAGGCAGCAAGCCTGAGAGCAGGTCAGCCCAGGAACCAGGATCTGCTACTTGGGACAAAGAAAAGCAATGCCACCAGGGTGGAGAATAAGCCACTCCAGGGAGGCGAGAAGGGGTCAGAAGGAAGGCTGGAGTGATCAGGAGGAGCCAGGAGCAGGCAGAGAGGGGTCCTGCAAAGGCCTGAGGCCGAGCTGGAGTCCTGTTCCACAGTTAGAAAATAGGTGCCCAAGCAACGGGAGAGAAGCTGCTGTGCAGGGCACTGAGACTGCAGTGGGGGAGGCCTGGCACCTTCTCACCTCTCCAGCTAGGAGCCACTGTCTTCCTGTGGTTGCATTAGATGCCTCCAGGGCTCCCCAGCCCTGGGGGTGGGGACTTCAGCTTGTTCAAAGCTCTAAGCGATTTTCCATGTATGGACCGACTCATTGATAAAACTCCCTGTGYTCTGGGACAAGCTGGGCTGAGGCAGGACCTCGTCCCTGACCTTCAGGAGAGGCCGTGTAAGTCAAGGCTGCAAGAACCCAGCTGGACGTCGGGGAAGCTTCTCAGCAGAGATGTCCCCAGCTGTGGTCAGGTAGAGGAATGGGCTGCTTGGGGCACAGCCAGCAATGCTGGCCACCGGGGCTGCAGGCTGCTCGGRTGAGGTTGACAGGGACCAGGCAGGCAGGAACCCACGCTGTGTGCTGAGGACAGAGGGAGCCACGGCAGGTGTAATAGGGCAGGCAGCTCCTCCAGCAGGATGCTCTGGGATCATAGCTCCCTGCACCCCATTTGACAGATAGAAAGACTAAGGACCAAGGATGCCCCAAGGGTCTGGGGCCCCTGTGGTCTGACTTGCCTTAMGGCAGCTTGCAACCTGGAGCAGACAGAGGGCTGCCTCCCATAGTCATGATTGACTTCCTGGCCTTTGAACCCTCTCCTTGACCGCACAGGAGCCTGACCCACAGCCTACTCATCTCAGGGTCAGGTTGAGGTGTGTGCATGTGTGTGAGTGAGTATGTGAGTGTAGAAATCTGTCAGACCTGGACTTTTTGTCTGACTCCAACTTTCACTTGCTGAGTGACCCTGGGCAAGTCACTTAATCTCTCTGATCCTATTTGTGTATCTGTGAAATGAGTTGGCACTTCATACCTTGTTGAGCTCTTGGGAGACACATAGGCCTGGCTCCAGGTTTTCCCCAGGCTCAGCCACCCCCCCAGCAAGGAAAGAGCCTGATATCATCTGGCACTCCTCCATGATCACACCTTGCATTGCTAGGTTCACGAGGAGGGGGTCCCTGTAGGGAAACTCAGCCCAGAAAGACTGAGCGGGCCACAAGGTGAGGGCCGGGCACCAGGAGCTGGGGTGACCAGGTGTGGTCACATACCCAGGYCCCCCCAACCAGGGTGGGTTAACCCTTTCCCACCGCCCAGTCCCTCCCAAGGCCAGGCCTGGTCGGGATACTTCCTCATGCCCCCAACCCCTCCGGGCTGACACAAAGGCCCAGCTCCCACAGGGGCRGCAGGAAGGGGCTCCTGGCCAGCTGGGCCGAGGACAGGCAGGGAAGTTAGTGGAGACAGGAAGGAAGCCGCACAGCTGGAGGCCAGGCGCCATTGTCCCACCTGGGGGTGGGGGTCCCTGGTGGCTCCCAGCAACCCTGCCCAGCTGCAGACCCAGATGTCACTGGACCCTCACGCAYGCACGCCAGCCCCCACCTTGCAGGCGAATTTTTGTGTCTCCTCCTAGCCTCAGTTTCCCCATCTAGAAAACCTTAAAGGGCAAGGCACTTGGAATTCATCACACAGTAATGGCATCATGACACGGGCCAGCCATCGGTCAGGTGCCTGGCCTGAGTTAACGCATTTGAGCTGCTGGACATCCCGTGATGTCCCCAATTGACAGCCCCAGAAGTCAGGTACCTCCCCCAGGTCTCACATACAGAGGCAGAGCTAGGACTCAAACCCGGATGCCATTCCAAAGTGCAGGGCTTCGGGGTCTCTGTGGTCCTACTGTGCATTACTGACTGAGTGCTGTCTTGACATAACTCCTCCGGGAGGGGTTAAGATCCATGGAGGCTTTTTGTGAGTGGTCCTCGAATATGCTAGACAAGTGCTCTACCACAGCCCTCTTCTTTTTTTTTTTTTTTTTTTTTTTGAGACAGCAGAGGGTCTTTCTAAGTTGCTTTCAGCCTCGCTAAACTGCCAAGGCTGGCCTTTAACTTGTGATCCTCCTGCCTCAGCCTTCCAAGTGGCTGGGATTACAGGTGTGCTCACCATGCCCAGCTACCCACAGAGCGTTATTTAAAAATGTGACATCAACAGCTGAATAGAGACAGAGGACAGACCCAGATAGAAGGACACAGAATAGGTACAGAGGGATGATGGAGATGAATGGAGGGTCACGGTTGGTAAGTCATATTAGACTTCACACAATCATGAAAGCTACAGGAAAGCTGTCATGGTGTGTGTCCCGAAGCCACCTCCCCTCCCCACCACCCGGGGCTCTGGGGCCGTCCTCTGAAGGCTGAGCCTTGGCAGAYGCGGGGGCTTCCTCCCTTTGGGTGGGAAAACTGAGACCCGATGGGGAGGGGCCCAAGGCCGCGCAACCTGGTGGGGCTCAGGCCTCCTTGGCAGATTCAAGTCCCTGTGCGGCTCTTCAGGATGCTCCTTCTCTTCCTCAGCCCCACCCTTGGCTACCCATGACAGGGACGTGATGGGGACAGGAGCACGTCTCACTTCCAGGTGGAAAGAGAGGAAACAGGAAAGGTCCTAACGGGAAGGAGGGGGAAGGGGAGCTCGGGGTCCCCGAGGTGGTGTCCTGGACAGGGCAGGGCTGGGCCCAGCCTGCCACCCTCCCTCTCCAGGCCCCTCCCAGGACCACCCCTCTGCCTCTGGGAGGAGGTCTGAGGACTAGCAGCCCTGGTGGGGACGACCCAGGAGCCTGCTGGGCCTTCAGAACCACGACCAGGAGCCCCCCATGTGATACCTGACACGCTCCCTCTGTCCTGAGGGCATCAGAGGTGGCCGGGAGGGACTGTGTTCACCCCAACCCCCCAGACCCTCAGGGTCCTGGAGACAGAGGGGTCAGGTGGTGCCTGGGCTTACGTCTCAGGGCCCCAGTCCATTGCCCCGATGGGCATCTTGGGCTACGTAGTAAGGCCCTCCCTTAACGTGTCCTGTCCCCAGGTAGCCAAGCACCTTCACCCCCACACCTCCTCTCCCTGGGGTCTGATGAATGAGTGGACAGACCTGTACCCCAGTTCCTGCTCACATTTTATTGAAGGTGGGGCTAGAGTGGCACACAGAAGCATAGGCCCCAGTTTCCAGGGGGCTCCAGGCTTCTGGATGAAGGACAGCCCAAGGCTCACTCCTGGGACTGCAGGTGCAGCTCACCGGCCACCATCCCTGCAAGTATCCAAGGCACGTGCCTCAGCTCATGGTCCCTGGTCCCTCTGGGCACAGACTCAGGACAGGATGTGGACAGCAGCCTTGCTCCTGTGGCCAGATATGCAAGGCCAGCTGGGAGAGGGACAGGCCAGGACAACCAAGCCACAGGAGAGGGCACAGGCTGAGAATGGACAAAAGCCCCAATGAGGTCAGCAGCAGGGGAAGGGACAAGGACATTACCCCCAGCTTAGGCTCCGTTTGGCCAGCTCCACCTGGGCCAGGCGGTGTTCACTCAGCACCCGCACTCTGGTGATGGCAGCCAGCGGCCTCTGGCGGTGCGGGAACTGTAGCACCTTGTGCTCCTGCGCGTAGACGTGGAAGTGTTCGGCGTCCGAGCTCACCTCCATCTGAGCAGGCAGGAAAGTGACCCTTGGCCCCAGCGTAGGAGCCCGGATGGATCACTCAGTCCCACGTCTACCTCGGTGTGCTGGCCTGCCCGGGCCCACCCACCCCATGGGAGATCTGCGCTGGGAACCCTCTTGCTTCTCCAAAGACAGGGAGGCTGGCAGCCAGAGCAGGAAGCATCCCATCACCCCCGAGGGGGACTGAGGAACAGGGAGGCCCAGCCAAACCCAGCAGAGAGGCTTGTGGATATCACAAGGAACCCCCTCCCCACCTGCCTCCTGTTCCCTGCCACTGTCCTCATCCCCTGTCCCCCTGGGCTTCCCCTCTCCCCATGGRCCCCACCCAGGTCCCCATCACCTCAAAGGGCTCCCCCAGGGCCAGTGGGAAGATGCTGGACACCTCCTCCTGGCCCCAGCGGCCACCCTCGAAGGCATTGCCCACCACAGTGGCACTGGAGAATCGTGGCTTGACGTGGAAGGCGATGTCCCCCGCCTCGGACAAGAAGTTGATCTCAAACCTGGGGGTGTTGTGTGGGTCATGAAGGCAGCAGACAGCTGGGCAGCCCCCACCCCTGGCCCAGGAGGGTAGGTGGCCCCTACCTGTCCTCTCTGGAGTCAGCTTGTCCCTGGACCATCAGGCTCCAGCCCGGGGCCAGGCCCCCCGCACAGAAGGCTTCAAACTAAAGGCAAAAGACAGAGGGATGGAGCCCATGGGGCTGTAGCTCTGTCCCCACCCTCCAGGTACCCACTTATCTTGGAAACCCCCCCCCCAGCCCTCCCACTCCAACGGATGATCTTTGCAGGACCTCGTCCCTCCGGACATCTCCTTCCTGATGGCGGGGTGGAGCAAGCCTGCCCAGCAGCAGCTCTGGGGAGACCTTCACCCCCACACCCCCTCACCCTGGGGTCTGATGAATGAGTGGACAGAACCGCACCCCAGCTCTGTGCGGAGAAACACAGGCGGCCTGGGGACTCCCCCACCACCCAGGCCCCCTTCCCTTCTCCCAGGTCCGGGTAGGTGCCATCTGGGTACCTGGGTCTCACCCACCTGCACCGCCATGGCCCCAGCAGCTGGGGAGCGCAGAGGGGGCCTGAGGATATAGACCGGGTGGGAGGGGCGGGGCTCGGAGCTCCGCCCCCGGGGCCTGCTGAGGTCCCTGCTGAGGTCCCCCCCGCTCAGGTCCCTGCGCCCTTCCCTGGTACATTTTCCCTCCCAGGCTCCTCCTCCTGGGCCTCTGTTAAAGCGCTCTGTGTAAGAAGCCCCCTTGCACCCCTGCCTCCACAGGGSCTGACCAGCTCCCTTCCCAGGGGCAGGTTGCTTGTCCCTGTCCTTAGGGGACGGGTGTGGCCATGGCAGCCCCCTCTTTCTTCAGGGCCCTAAGCCCGTCCTTCTGACCCAGAGAGGAGGGGAGGCCTGYGCACTGAGCCTGCCCCTGCCTTCTGGGGTCCGGGCTACTGCTGGGGTGCCCCAAACTCTCTCTTCTGCCCACCCCAGCTTCCCTCCCATGCCCCCCTGGCTGCCCTGTTCCGGCCAGCTCGGCGGGCGGGCCCCACGGGGCAGAGTGGGGATTAGGCGGGTGCTGGTCAGCGCATTCCAGGGCCTTGGCAGACAGATGGGGAGGGCCTTTCCCGCACCCCGCACCCTCCTCTCAGGCTGAGCCAGGGCACGGGCTGGTCGGGGCTCTCAGGTAGCCTGAGGAGAGTGAGCCCCTCTGCAGGGGGCCCAGTGACTGTGCTGCACACGTGTGTGTGTGTGTGTGTGTGTGTGTGTGTGTGAGAGAGAGAGAGAGAGAGAGAGAGAGAGAGAGAGAGGAAACAGAACCCACCATGTGCCAGGTGTATGTGGCTGTGGGTGGCCCAGAGGTGCCTCTGGCTGTTTCCCTGCTCAGGGTAGAGAAAATTGGCACAGATCTAGACCAGGGTGCTTCCCCCAAGAGGCTTCTTGTGCCCACGTGTGTCCCCTTCCTCCTATGCCCATGTGTCCCCCTCCTCTTGTCCCTGTGTATCTCCTTCCTCCTGTTCCTTTGTGTCCCCTTCCTTCTGTCCCCATGTGTATCCCCTCCCTCTTGTCCCTGTGTGAACACTTCCCCCTGTTCCCATGTCCCCACACCCCCTGACCATTCTTCACTCCGGACCCTGGCAATGCTGACCCCATGTCCTGTTTGACCCCTCCCCAGGCCCGCTGCCTGGGTATGTGCTGGTGCTGTTGGCTGTGGCTGGGGGACACTAGAGCCAGAAGGGACGTGGAGATGGCCCAGACTGTCCACCTGCCCACAGGTGGTACAGGCTGTGCAGAAGCCGAGGCCCTTCCCTTCTGCAGATTGCGGGCAGGGTTGCATGTGGCCTGCAGGGGGCAGCCCTGGGCAGCTGAGGCTCCCGGGATGAGCCCCACCGTCCTGCCAGGTCCATGTCTCAGACTCCTCATCCCTGCATCCCTGAGAAGAGCACAGAGAGGGAGGCCCCTGGCCACACAGCCCAACCAGAGGGCAAAGCCCAGTCCTGTGACCCCACTCCCTGTCCTGTCCCCTGTTTAGGTGCTGGGGCTGGGTAGTGTCCTGGCTGCAGGCCCCTGGTGAGGACACAGAACCTGGACTCTAGATACACTCCTGCCAGGGCCCAGGGCTGGGGCCAGGCATGGAGTCGGGGTCTGAAACAGGCTTCTGATGGGATGGCCACCTTGAGCTTGTGGCCTCTGGGCCTCAGTCTTCCCAGCTATATACTGGGCTCAGCAGTTCTACTCAGCAACACTGACCTCTGCTTCTGTCCTCTGGGTGGCGGAGAGTGGTCTAGGGCAGCCACAGTCCTGGTCACAGGAACTGGGTCATTGTCGGCCTGATCTCTGTCTCTGTCTCCTTGTTTGGGGTCAGCAGGGCTCTTGTTTGGGGGACTTGGGTGCCAGCTGCTAGAACTGGCATCCAAAAATCTGGGGCTGGGATCCCAGACCTGCTGCTTCCTAGGACAAAGAGGCCAGAGACCTGTTCCCAAAGGTTCTATCCCTCTCTGAACCTCAACTTCCCCAGCTGGATCGTGGGGGTTGTTACAGGAGCCTGGCCTGCTCGTGCCCCTTGCAGTCTCTAAAAGCTGGGTGCCCCCCACCCACTTTGGGCAGCTAGGCTGTGGGCCTTCACCCAGGCCTGCGCCCCAGGGTGGCAGGTGGACCTGTGATCTTGACCCATCTGTAGCACAAAAACTCTGGGGGGTCAGAGCCAAGAGCTGCCGAAACTCCAGGCAGCCAGGACAAGAATGCCCCCTGGGGTGGGCTCAGTCCTGCAGAAACTCCCCACCCTCAGCCCCAGGGCAGCAGAGTCCAAATCTGACCCTGGACGCAGTGTCCAGCCTGGCCTCAGGACGACACAGTAGGCGGTRCCCTCCCTCCCTGCCTTGCTGGACAGCAGGGTTGGGTGCTGGCTGCAGCAGGCTATGGTTTGGGCCTGGGAGCAAACAGACCTGCGTCCGGGGCTGTCCCTCCCCCTGTCCCCCCACACCTACCCGGATGTTCGTTTTGCCTGGAGCTGTTGACTCTCAAGACTGCCAACCAGGTAGCCATCTCCACCCAGCTCAGCTGAGGATCTGCTGCAGCGTGGGGCTGGGCTCTGCAGCCCTGGGTGCCCAGCACGGGGCAAGCACTCAGCCACCATGTGAAATTCTACCCAGAGCCCAGTGGCAATTAGCATCTATTGGAGTGCCAGCACCCGGCTGAGCTCTTAATGCATTATCATATCTGCGGCACCAAAGAGCTGGTGAGGGTGGCACTGAAATCCCTGTTTCAGAGAAGGACATGATGGCCCAGAGAGGCTGAGCTACTTGCYCAAGGTCCCATATATAGTTAAGCAGTAAAAAAGCCAGGACTTGCAGAATGCCTGGCGCACGCCAGTAATCCCAGTGGCTCAGGAGGCTGAGGCAGGAGGATCGTGAGTTCAAAGTCAGCCTCGGCAAAAGTGAGGTGGTAAGCAACTTAATGAGACCCTGTCTCTAAATAAAATGCAAAATAGGGCTGGGGATGTGGCTCAGTGGTCAAGTGCCCCTGAGTTCAATTCCTGGTACTGCCCCCTCCTAAAAAAAAAAGCCAGGACTTGAAACCAGCAGTCTGCCTAGAGTTCCTGCCATAGACACCATGCTGGGCCATCCCTGGAGACACACTGCTAGGCTGGGAGGGGTTAGCAGAGCTGGCTTTCTGGAAGGAGAGGTAGGTCTTGAAGAACGAGTAGGAGTCAGAAAGTGGCGGGAAGGATGCTTCCAGTCCAGGAAAGGGAGGCAGGATAGTGCTGGGGACAGGCCAGTCACACTGGGCCACTGATTAACCTCACATCCCCAGAGGTGACTGCCTCCCCTCTCCCAGGGACAATTTGACAAGGATGGCCTCACCTTTCTGGGAGCTCAGCAGAGCTTCTGTGGGATTTCTGGGGTCAGGCATCATTGTACCCATTTAAAAGGTGAGAAACCGAGGCTCAGGGGGAGGAATCACCCGACCCAGCCCCACAGTGAGGAGGGGCAGAACCGCACAGGGAGGCAGCTCCGGGCTCCTGGCCCACTGCTCAAACAGCCCTGTCGCCTGTCCAGGACTGAGTGTCCAGCCTGGCCCCACAATGGCAATTCCAGGGGCTGGGTCTGGCTCTCAGCCTCCTCATTCTGTCCTCGGAGGCTGAGGTTCCAGACCTTCCCAGGACTCCCTGGCCCCATCTTCCATCTGGAACTGCCGTCCCAAGTGCTGGGCAAGTACAGTCCTGGGCAGACGGCTGCAACCAGCTCCACCCTAGCGTGGCACTGGGTGGCCTTGGCACATGGTGGCTGCCTTAGGTCAGAAGGGAACAATAACCAGACATGCAGAGGGTTGGGCAGAGGGGAAGCTCCGTGCCACCCCACACGGAAGGGGAAGGGGAGGCTCACAGGGGCCAGGGGCGTGACGCAGCAGCAGGTGGGCACTGGTGGTCCGGCCTCTGTTTCTCTTGGAGGCCCCAGGTAGGACCTTGGCCTCCACAACTCACTAAAGACCAGACGGAACCCAGATGGGGAGAGTGGTTTCCAGGCTAAGGCGGACCCCAGGAGTCCGAGGAGGGGACAGAGGGTCTTCACCCCTGATGCTTCTTCACCCTGACCCTTCCCAATCTGTCCCCAACTGCCGCCTGCCCCAGCAACGCTTCAACTGACCTATCCTGAGGCACAAGCTCTTCAAGTTCAATCCCAAAGGACCTTCGGGGCCTCTCCCTCCTCTGAGACTTTCTCCCCGACTCAGGGCAGAGGATATTTTCCATCTAAGCCATTAACCGAGGTCCTTCTACATGACAAGCCATGCTGTGGTGAGCCACTCAGACAGACAGACGGGCACAGTCCATTCCCCGGGAGCCTGGGTGTCTGGGGAAGGCAGGCAGGTGTCAGATGTCAGAATCCAGCACTGCACGGTTTAATTGCTACGGCCATAGAGCCAAGACACAGTGAGTGACAGCTGAGGGAGCTGGCCTTGATGGGGACTGTCAGGGAGACTTCCCAGAGGAGGTGAGTCTGAGCTGACCCTAGGAGAGAGCAGGGCTGGCCTCATGAGGGGGAAGAAAGGGAACAGCATGCGCAAAGGCCCTGGGGAGGGTAGAGTGGATGGGTAGGCCCCACCCCTTCCTAGCCCTTCCTGTCAGACGCCCTGATATTGTTCCTGGACAAGCTGCCCACCCAGGCCCCAGCCATTGTGCATGGCTGCTGCCTCTACCCTTGAGTCTTTTACTGCCCAGAGAATTTACTTGCTCCCGGGGGTACTGTGTGGGCTGATAAGGTCTTACTGGAACTGGGCACCGTGACACAACCTGTAATCCCAGTGACTCGGGAGG